TAGTAGAAAAATGTGAGTGAAATGGAAAAAATATTGGAAGGAGAAAAGTTTGTATGAAGATTTGGTGTGGAAAGTGAATAAAATTGATAGGTATTTATAGGGAAAAAATCCAGTATTTTTTTTAAAAAAAAATTTGAATTTTTTTGGGTTTTTTTTTTTTTGCCAAAAAAATGAGTGCCGTCGGATTTCTGGAAAAAAAACCATCGCAGAGCCCAGGAAGCGCCACATGGCATTTTTCCATTGGTTTCTGAATGGTGACATCACGCTGACGTCAACGCCTTCGGGCTTGAGCCCAGGCTCCTAGTTGCGCGCTAGAGGGCTTCTGGGCTCGCAAGGGGGGCCTTTTGCCTGGTTTGAGACCAGCGAGCAAGTCCACCCGTGAAGGTTAAGGCAAGGGCTGCCACCTATTCATATGAATAGTGGCAGCCTTGCCTTCTCTGGTTCCACCCCAAAAGGCTGGGGTAAGGGCAAATACTATTCACATGAGATATGAAGAGATGAATTTGTATAGAGTTTTTGGTGTGGAAAGTAAAGAATATGCCTAGGTATTTATTAAAAAAAAATCTGGAATTTTGGGTTTTTTTTCTCCATTTTTTTCTATATTTTTTCAAATTTTTTTGGTTGCTGACGTCATTATGACGTCAGAATTGCATTATCCTGCCCAGGCAACAGCTCAGGCTGAATTTGCCCGTGGGCTTGCCTGGGCTCGTGGGACCCAGCTTTTGCCCGTAAGGGAATTAAACGAGGACTAGCCACATTGCTAGTATCAGCAGCAAGGACAGTACTAAGAAAGGCAGGCTCCGAGTCAAAAATATGAGGTCCAAGAGGGAGATCATAGCTTTTGGTAGCCAGAAGATCAGCAGCACGATTTTGCTCACGGTAGATATGGGTAAGAGAGCAAGTCCAGTCATCATGAAGCTTCAGATGACAGCAGTTTAGAAGACTAAAAAGAGGATGATCATACATAGGAGCATTCTGAAGGAGGGCCACCACAGAGCTAGCATCACATTCAACTTCCACAACTCTGAAACCCATATTCCAAGCCAACTTGAGGCCCCAAAAAACACCCCACAGTTCAGCCTCTAGGATTGTCCCAACCCCAAGATTCACAGAAAAACCATTTAACCACTTGCCAGTGGAGTCTCTCAAGATACCACCAGCACCAATACAACCCGTTTCAGTTTTCCTGCTACCATCAGTATTGATTTTACAGATCCCATGCCTGGGAGCAAACCAATGTAACTGAATCAGACGCATCACAACAGAATCAGGAGTAAGATTACAAACAGTAAACCAGTCCATAGCATAATTCAAAATTATTTGACGAGAGTTAGGCGGAGTCGAAAAATTCTGTTCAAAGACCACCTTACAACGCCATTTCCAAACAAACCAAATATAAACTGTGAAGACCAACGACCAATTTGTTAGCTTTTGATATTGAAGAAACATATATAAATTTATAGTAGCAGTATTTTGTAAATGCATGTCAGCAAGAGATGGGCAGTGAGTCCAATTGGAACCCCAAATCATGTTACACAAGGTGAACCTGAAATTTGACCAAACGATCAGCTCTATAGCGGACCTGCTCAAGTGCCTTGCAGACAATAGTGGTGAACATAGTCAATTTATTCATCAATTGGCAGATGGAAACAAAGAATCTGTATCTTGAAAAGAAGTTATGCATTCATGTAAAACTGCATCAGTTGAAGAGCACCAGCAGAAATGTTAGTCACTAGGCTACACAAGGTTTTAGAGACACAATGCAAACAAAAAATTGATTTTCTTGGCACTTTCGATGTAGACAATTATGATTAGACTATTTTGTTGTTGGCAATCTTAGTATGAGTCAATTAAAAAATCAAGAACAATTAGTGGGTATGAAACTGGATCGTCACCACTAGACCGACCTCTATCTAACAAATAGTTTTAACTGTTACTGCTCAATTTTAGTTAGACATTTCATCGAACACTTGGTGGGTATTTTGTAAGTGAAAACACAGCCCAACTTTATTTAGTCATTTGATCGAACACTTGGTGGGCATGCGGGCAAAACCATAATTCACTTTGCATCAAATATTACCGAGAGAAAGAGCAAGAAATGATACCGATGAATATTGCTCATGATCCGCGCCGGCCGTTTCGATGATTTGCCCAAACAGATGCTAAGAACCTAACCGGCCTGCAATTCACCACACTCATGACATTATTGATATTGCAAATACATCAGCAAGAGCCAGAGAGAGATGATTTACCTCATGCGGCGGATTCCGGACATCTCTTCTAGATCAACCGCCAGTACTTGTTTGTCTAGCCGAAAGACGAGCCGTCCGTAGGTAGCGAAATCCTGCGCTTTAAGGATGAACTTGGTGGTACCAGTAGCAAGTATCGCAGTGACATGAATGCTTCTGGGGCCCAAATAAGCCATTCGATCCAAAAATTTCATCCCTCTGATCACTGTGCGATCCCCCTTTTGCAGCTTAGCAACTAGTTTGCCTTTCCCATCATCATCTCCCTGCTCGACCTCTCGTATCTCAACAACCACTCCCGTATTGTTTACGATATCAGTCATTCGAGCACACAAAGCCGCCATTAATCAGACAGGCAGCTGCCCACGGGCTCTGGTAGCGGTATCTACAGTCTTCTTAGCGATTATACTATTTTTAATAATAAAAAAACTGTCGTATACAAAAATAATCCCAACTATAGCCGCCTGGCTATACTATTTATACCCAAAAAAAATGACCGCCTAGTGCCCATACGTGTAAAAACAGTGTAGCCGCGCGCCATACGCTAAATTACAAGGAATATAGCCGCACGGCTATACTATTTATACGTGAATTTTTTGTGTATTATTGAAAATTTGGTAAAAAACAATTGTATTAAACATGAAAAATATGTGCGTCTATGTACAATACAAGTATTAAACATGAAAATTATGTACATGTGCAATACAAGTATTATACGTGAAAATGCTAAATTCTTTAAATGGGTAATAACTTTGAAAATGTAAAAACTCAAAATGGAACAATAGAGACTCAGGTAATAACCTAATAGTACTGGATAAATAAGCCATTCGATCCAAAAATTTCATCCCTCTGATCACTGTGCGATCCCCCTTTTGCAGCTTAGCAACTAGTTTGCCTTTCCCATCATCATCTCCCTGCTCGACCTCTCGTATCTCAACAACCACTCCCGTATTGTTTACGATATCAGTCATTCGAGCACACAAAGCCGCCATTAATCAGACAGGCAGCTGCCCACGGGCTCTGGTAGGGGTATCTACAGTATTCTTAGCGATTATACTATTTTTAATATTAAAAAAATGTCGTATAGCCGGGCGGCTATACAAAAATAATCCCAACTATAGCCGCCTGGCTATACTATTTATACAAAAAAAAAAAAGACCGCCTAGTGCCCATACGTGTAAAAACAGTGTAGCCGCGCGCCATACGCTAAATTACAAAGAATATAGCCGCACGGCTATACTATTTATTAACAAAAAATAAAAGAAAAGGACCCTTCTAGTTGCATTAGTTTATATATTATGGATATTAATTTTCAGTCAATAATATGCGAAAATTTTGTGTATAGTACGTGAATTTTTTTGTGTATTATTGAAAATTTGGTAAAAAAAAATTGTATTAAACATGAAAAATATGTGCGTCTATGTACAATACAAGTATTAAACATAAAAAAATATGTACATGTGCAATACAAGTATTATACGTGAAAATGCTAAATTCTTTAAATTGGTAATAACTTTGGAAATGTAAAAACTCAAAATGGAACAATAGAGACTCAGGTAATAACCTAATAGTACTGAATAATGCTCTAAACTACTCTTATTGATAAACAAAAATCGGGGAAAAACAATTAACAAAAAAAAGTTACAGTATCTATGTAAAGCGTATAGCCACTCAACTATAGTATTTATAAATTTTAAAAAAAAGACCCCAATAAAGCAGCATGACAATAGAGAGATTGCCGGAGGTGGACATGTGGCATAGTGTGCTTGACTTAGATGGAGTGGCATTGTGTGAAATTTTATTGTTTTTTAATTACATTATTGTAAAATTAGGTGAAATTGAATTCCTATTAGGGTTCAATTACATTATTGTAAAATTAGGTGAAATTGAATTTTATCTTTGGCTTAATCCTAATTAGATGAAATTGAATTCCTATTTTTCAAATTAGTAAACTATATAGTGTGTTAAAATGAAAGCTCCCTAGAAATAAAGGCTAGAGGGCTGCCAATGTCATGGCAGAAGCATCATAGTTTCATCGACTTGCTATGTCGATGAGTGTTTATCATGTATTTATATTAGTGTTCATAATTTACACATACTCAGAGAGGTACATCTTAATTCATCAAGTATAGCAATTATCAAAATGCAGTATAAAGGGAAAGTATACCAATCAAATACAGTTCCTACCAAATTCTCAACTCTTGTACAAATTATAGTGTGTTAAAATGAAAGCTCCCTAGAAATAAAGGCTAGAGGGCTGCCAATGCCATGGCAGAAGCATCATAGTTTCATCGACTTGCTATGTCGATGAGTGTTTATCATGTATTTATTTTAGTGTTCATAATTTACACATACTCAGAGAGGTACAGCTTAATTCATCAAGTATAGCAATTATCAAAATGCAGTATAAAGGAAAAGTATACAAATCAAATACAGTTCCTACCAAATTCTCAACTCTTGTACAAATATCACTTCCCATCTCAAGATCTTAATCTCCACATCTTTGGCATTACATGTTTCGTAAAGCTCACATATCACTTCACATCAATGCAAAAATGTAATCTCAACTGGAATTCCTAAATATCTCAACTGAACTTCCAATTGCTAAATTGTACAAATGATTACAACTCAAATTTGAAGCCCACATTATGGTCCTTACCAATTGCGGCTAATATGTTTTCCTTGAACTCCGACTTCTATCCTCTCATTGCATTTTAAGAACAAAAAATTGATCTGCTTGCATTTGAGCGGTACAAAATTAAGAATTGGCAAATAAATTGGTATCCAAATTTTCTTCATAACTAAACCTAAAAAGTTAGCAAAAAGACTAAAGAAAAAAAAATTTAGTAATCCAAAAATGAATTTCCAAACCTTAAATTCAAGTATCAAACCAAACACCCTAGCTTTAGAACTTATCCAAACTTGTTCCAAAATCATTTGTAACCTATTATAGGGCAATTAGGACTTGAAATTTTGTCGGGAAAGCAAATTACATCATGTTTGTAATTAAGTAATACCTTAGCTTTATTTAATTACTTGAATTAGTAATTAAATAAAGATAAGATATTAATTAGTATTTAAATATTTTAATTAATATAAAAAATAACTTAATTAATAGCATTTAATTCTTTTAAATTCTTTTGTCGACATGTGCCGACGTATTTTTGCCGGAATAGACATTTGCTGACGATTTTTTGCCGGGATAGATCTATACATGTTGAATAAAATTTCCTAACACACTGTCCCTTCATTTTAGAGGGATATAAAACCAAACTCCATATATTTATTTATTTTTAAACGAGAGCTGTTAATCTTCCTGCACTCCGAGATTTACCCTTTTAAGTTTCACCTAACGGTAACATAATGTGCAAGACGACGCCGTCTAACTGTTGCACTGGCGGTTTGTCATCCTCATTGCATTTTCTTCACGGTTCTTCTTCAGTTCCAGTGACGTGCATTGAAACTGTACATTACCTCGACGTCGCTTTTCCGTAATTCCTAGGATCTACTTTCCCAAGAACCAAACAACCATATACGGATTTAGCGTCTTCCACACGCACCAATCCCTAACCGAAAACTCCCTCTCAACTCTCAATACAAAAATTTTCTCTTTCACGTCCACAGTCGACTTCATCCAATCCACAAAAACCACAATTTTCGACCACTTTCCGGGAACCAAACACTCCGACAACCCACAACCACACCGAATCCCAAATCACCCTCATGAACTGAAATCCAAAACCCCAGGGCTCGGTTCTCGGCTCGGCGTTGCAATGGACAAGGAAACCGAAATCCTCTCGCGCTTAGCCGCGAACCATCTCTATCTCGCCCAATTTGAGCCTCTTCGAGCGATTGTCGTCGCTCTCCGAGCTCGAAACCCCGACCTCGCTCTGGCCGTGCTCCAAACCATCGTCGCTCACTCGGGTCGCTTCGAGAACATTCTCTGGTCACAATCATGCCCATCACCAGCTCTGCTCACTTACTTATCGACCCTTGAACTGTTGCAATTCGATAATGCTTCGTCGGTATGGAGCTTCGATCCCGAAACCCTGCGATTGCGCGCCGAGTTCTTGTTGTTAGTTCAGAATTTGATCGACCGCGTCTCGGAGAGTATGCGGAAGAATTTTGATTTGGAGAGCATAGAGAAAGAGAAGGAGAAAGAAGGGTTAAGCGAGAGCGAGAGTTTCGAAGAGCGAGCAGAGTTTTTGGGTAAGAGTGAGGATACTGGCAAGGATTTGAGAGATGCTAGTGGTGAATTGGATAGCTGTGTGAGAATTTTGGATAGGGTTTTGGAATTGGGCGTAAATAGATTGAAGCCACACTCCGTAG